CACTTTACGCAAGAGTAAAAGAGTAGAAGTCGGAATGAAGGAAAAACAATTAAGCCTGAACCAAGCTTACATACCTACTAACCTACAACCTACCTACAACATACCAACACAAAACAGAAAACCTACCAGCCTACAACCTCCCAGCTTACAACCTACATAAGTACATACCAAACTACAACATTTTTTCGGATTCCTTGGACTGGTACTTTTACCAGCTAATGAAAATTGAAATTCCTGCTCTTCCAGGGCTGAACAAATTAAAATCAAAATGAAAGTTGTGTCAATATTAACACTAAAAACACCCATTCATTGACAACTTTGGCAAGTGTTTCAAAATCAGGCAACAAATCCACAGCCTTGCTTTTGATGCCCACCGGGCTAGCGTGTCCAGCTTTCAAGTACCTAAACCAGCAAAATTAGACAACCAAAGATTCCTTACTTCCAGTGTTATGTCCTGCCTTCCTTAAAACAGAAAACAATCATAACCACAGTAAACTCAGCTTTCATCACGGCGCCAGCCATTCCCCTTCTTCAGCATTCAAACTTGTTTGAAAATTGGACAAGCACTGAGCGCTACTCGCGGGAGTCCACTCCTGTTTTGCTACGTGTTCATGATCACAGTATACCTCTCATAGACGTGCGCCGAAAAGGCCCGCTCAAAATCTTTGATGCGTTGGCTCCTGGGGACTACAAAATCCACAGTGAAGGCTCCCTGGCGGCTGGGGCGTCAGCTCAGCGTTGTCCCCTCGTGTCACCAGCACCCGATTGGCTCGCTCGGGGTTATTCTCGCCGCGGATTGGCTGGTTAGTCTGTTCGCTAGCAGTGTGCGAAAACGCCGTCAACAAATGCGATGCAGTGTGTTAACCATTTTTGTGACTTTGTCACCAAATGTCTCTGATGCCTGTCAGCTTCTGTCGCCTACAATGTAAGCGAGTAGGAAGTTTTTTTTACCTCTGCATGGAGTTAAAATGGCGAGCGGCCCTCCCGCCGGAATGGTGAGCGTCCTTCTCTGTCAAACGCGGCGCTAGTTTCCGCCTAAGCTCCGCTGGCCCGCTCGACTGCTATGTCATGCGGCACAGTCTACAAGTACAGGTGACCGGTCGCGAGATCGGAGCTCCGTAGCACCGAGCGAGTGTGGCGAAGGCGGGGGTATTCACCGCATCAAACCTACAGGTCGCCTGGACCCTTATCTTGAGACCAATAGTACAGGGCTCCGTCATACAGCATGCCCGCGATCGCCCGCCTCGCCTTTCCCGCCACAGCTGCCTGTAGATGGGCCGTTCGCTCGGCATCACTGAGCGACGGTTGATTGTGGACGAGCGCGTGGAACAGGCCGATCCACCGCGGCCATTCTGAGGAGTCTCTTGTGTACACCGGAAGCTGGAGTTTCGGTATACTTTTCGCAAACGCAGATGCGTGCACCGATGGTCGCATTTCGGGCTGCGCTGGTGTCTGGTGATTGGGGAGTTCATCGATCCATGACTGCCTGCTCCGTTGGGGGCTAGCTGGGACGGGGTCATTGAATGATAGTTGAGGTTGTAGGAATCTCGCCACTGTCTGCTGTCTCCCCCGCTCGTCTTCTACGTCTTGTGGTGGATCGGTGTTGATATTCTCTCCCAAAAAGTCATCCCTTCTTTCGGCGTTCAGCTGATCAGCTGCGATCTGACTTCGAAGTTGTGCCTCCAGCTCAGCTTGTTCCGCTTCATGCTTTGGCGATTTGCAGCTCACGTCGTCCTCTTACTTCATCTTCTTGGCGCCTCATCTCCTCTTGCTGCCGCCTCAACTTCTCTTGCTGCCGCATCAACTCGTCTTCTTGTTGCTGCTTCAGCTCCACTCCCTGTCGCTCCATCTCCAGTCGTTTTTCCAACCGTTTCACATGCAGAGCCTTTTTTCGCGCCGTGATCTGAGCCTCAGCGGATGCGCCGGAGGCTGACGAACTGGAGCTCACCCGAGACGACGCGCGGCGGGCTGGGCCGTGACCCAGCTGTGAGTCAGGGCGCGGCTGCTGGAGCGTCGAAGTCTCCATGGTTTCTTCCCTTTCTTTCGTGACAGGAACTCCGCCGATAGCGCCTTCACTTTGCGGTTTCCCTTCTTGTTTTTCCATTTTCGATGAAGTTTCGTCCGCTTCTGTTTTCTTCTGGCCTGATCCGGCCCGGAGGACCATTAAATGTCGCCGACCTTGTCGTGCCTCTGGTGGAGCCCGGGACATTTATTGTAGCGGAGGAAAAACGTAGATGAATTTTGATGAATGTATTGAAGAATTCCGAACGATAGATGATGTTGAACGGTAGACGAGGGTGAAATTGAAGAACGCAGAGTAGACAGGTAGACCAGAAAACACACTAGCACTGTCGATGGTCACTGTTGTCCGCCGAGGCGGACACACCGGCGCCGCCGCGGACGGGGGCGCCGTCGGATTCACGCGCCGGTCGGGGCGCCGGCGAAATCGCGCACTGCCACTGCGCTCAGTGGCGTTCAGTAGGCACCGCGAACGGAGGATGCCGTCGGAATCGTGCTCGGTGGCACGATTCCGTCACTGTTCACTGTTCACAGCACCGGCGCACCTCGGGGCGCCGGCGGAGTCGCGCACCGCCACTGAGAACTGCACTCGGTGGCGTTCAAGAGACGACTGCCCGCAGCGACTCGAGGAGCCGCCGCGGGCACAAAGAGAACAATTAGGTTGTACAACTAAAAGCACTCAGAAAGCGAAACTAGAAAGTGGTGCGAAAAGTCAGAGCAGGCTCGCGCGGCACGTTCGGCTATACGATACGGTGCGCGGCGAGCACGAACAGCCGTCAAGTGAGAAGCGATAGCGCGAGTGACAAATTGTAGGCAATTAGAACATGAGACGAGAAACTAACACAAGAGCTGGTCCAGGCCCACGGGGCACGATCAGTACTGCGATAGTTCACGCGTGGCTGTCAAATGTAAAACGAAAGAGAAGAACAACAGGGCAGTTCATTTCGTCGGTGACGGCCATAAAACATGTGTCGCATGCCCATGTAGTAGAAAGTGAAAACCGTGACCTTTCGTGACCTGACCTGAGCTTGACCTGTGCTTAGTTGGACCCCTTTACGCACATGGTATCTTCACTAGGCCTTTGAAGTCATTTTTGGTGAGTTTCGAGCAGGAGCTATCGATTCCGCTGTCCGTAAGCCTCATCATGCAAAACCCCAAAATTTGACCTTTGACCTGACCTTGACCCGAAAGTTGACCTCAATCTTAAAATCTTAAGAGTGCTTTGGGAAGGTCACGCCGCCTCGCGGGGATCGATACGACCATTGGCTTTCGAGATAATGGTGCCGGGCTTAGCACTAAGCAGGGGGGGAGCATTCATTCTGGCCAGGGTTCATAATGTCCAGGGTACGCTATGCCCAGTGTCAAAATGGCCAGTGCCTTGAATGGGCCAGAGTTCATAATGTCCAGGGCCTAAATAATACGCACCCACCTGGTACCTGAGGCATAACCACGTGGAGCTCTGAGAATGAGTGCCGGCCACTGATGGCCCCACATCGGTCGTTGAGGACTCAATTTAGGACCATAGTGGTCCCTTGAGAACTATTTTATCAATACTCCTTACATTATGCAGTACCAATTAACCCGCGCCCGGCTGGGGGTCCTGGATTTCCACGCCCTGCTGGGGGGGGGGGGGTGTTTGAACACCCCCCCCCTTCTAACTCGGCTCCTGGGCCACGTAGCGATACGCGGAAGGCGGCGTTCGAAAGAGCGTCAAAAATAATGACGAAATCACTTCGGTCAATTTTTTGGTCAGGTCAAAGGTCAGGTCACCAGAGGTCATTGAAGGCAAAATTTCGCCGATTTCCAGGTCGAATGTCGAAAATTTCCAAGAAGCCAACGCATAACTCGAGAACCAATAGAGCTACAGCGCCGCGGAAAAGCGCATTCGATAGCCCTATTAAAGCCCTTTCTGAGTAATTCTCTCAGATTTGACCTAACGTCAACGGTTTTGCCTGCAGGGGGCAAAAACTGCAAAAATAGCTGATTTTTTCGGAAACAGTTTTTCTGCAATAACTTTTGATCCAAGCCTTGTACGAGCTTACTTTTACCGGCATTGTGTTCCTCTCGTCAAGACGCATCGAATGAACTATAAGTTGACCTTGAAAGGTCAACTTGAAAATTTGACCTCAGGTCAAGGTCATGACCTGACCGGAAAGGGTCATGTTGCATATCAGTCGATCCGTATCGTCGAGCTGAACACATCTAAGGCGTTTTCATCGCTCTAGCATGCCTCTATCAAAAGTTATTTGCGAAAAACTGTTAGATACCATTCGTGACCTAAGATGACCTCAGGGCATAAACAAGGGTCACGGACACCATTTTCATGTTCAGTGTGTCTAAACCACTTGTAATTCGGTGTTTGGGAGTGTTTATAATGTCTTTCGTCCAAAAGAGGAGCATTTCAATTTTCTCCCATTGACTTATAATGGGGAGGTCGCAAAATTGACCTGACCTTAGGTCATCGATATCAAAATTCTGAGATATACATTTTGTACATGCTATTGCTCTTAGCAATCGCTGAAAGTTTCAAAGCGATCGGTCACTCGGTGTAGCTATGACAGACATTGAAACTTTTTATGAGGTGAGGTCACTTCAAGTGACCTGGTGACCTGACCTTGAATGACCTTGGTCTGAAATTTTCACAACATGTGTAGAATTGATGTATGATAAGGTGTACCAAAAACGGCGGCGCTCCGCGCCGCCGTTTTTGAGATATTCGCGAAAAACCACAAGGGGGGTGTTCAAACACCCCCCCCCCCAGCAGGGCGCGGGTTAAAAAGGAACTACCGCAGAAAAAAAATCAAGGTCCAGCCTTCACTTTATAGCTTGTCTGTGACACACATAATATGATTTGGTATAGAGTAGGTGTGCATATTCACTTGGTCTATGTAAAAGAATCCTGCATTACAACAGCAAATGTGTATGTATACTAGTAATTATATGTAAGCTCACAAATAATGCTAAAAAAACTCCTTTTGCAGGATCATACCCAAGTTCCTGGGAAGATTCTAGCATGGCAACAACTGGTCAACCTTCTTCAGAAAGGAACACCCTGCCTATCACTAGCAATGTAAGTGAATGGGTGCGTTGTGCTTGCGAGCAATGTGTGTAAAAACATAACATCCCTATTTGACGAACCTGGCATTGTTTTCATTCTTCCGTATAAAATACAAAATAATTGAAACATTAACAGAAAATGTAAATAGTTACATAAAAAACGGTCGACGTACATATTTAAATTGAATGAAAAATGGCCTATGTAAGACATTTCACCTCAATAAACATTTCGACAGGAAAAAATCGACGGAGACGTTACCACCATTGGGAGCATGACGTTCGCCCAAAGCGGCTTCTTGGGAAAGGGTGCCTTATCTACTGTCTTTCGGTAAGCAGTAATTTCCGTCATAGAGCTTCTTACAGCTTTGATGTCGACCGGCTAGGGGCATTGATGGCGCCGTTTCTTGTTCTAGGCCTACATGGTCTCGGCTCATATCAAGGCTATATCAGCCCCCTCCAAAGTCATATGGCAGCATGGGCGTGACTTTTCCTACTAGCCCATAGGGTTGCGTGTTAAAATGAGACTTTTTGCGCTCGGTTTTCAAGGTCTCGTAGTGTGGGCAGCCACGTATAAGGTATGTTAAAAGATAGCTACAACATTTTTATTTCCATTTTTGGGACGAAAAGTTCAAGCCCATCCAACCGTTTTCGAGATATTCGTCCATATATGACCCCATGTTTTTGACTCATCCGAAGGTGCTGTGTTCGAATCTCGGACAGACCAAAACTTTTATCGTAAATGTGCGGCAAACCATGGCTGCAATGCAAAGTAGGGGTAAGCGCGCTGGTGATGGAGAGTTGTAAGCTGGTACACCTGACCTTTGACTCAAGCCGAATTTTGTGGCACCAACCTCATTTTCAGGTCAGGTCAGGTCACTGACCTATGGCGTCATAAGTTAACCTCTGCACGGTCGCGAAGACGTCGCAACATCGTAACTCCATCAATGCAAGGAGAGCTATCACAGGTAGATGAAACTTACAGAACTGATCAAACTCCCTAATTTTCAAAAGTTGTTAGCTTCGGATTTCCCCTAAGGGTCACGTAAGGTCAGGTAGGTCAGGTGATCTGACCATTACCGATAAGCCAAAGGGGGAATAAAGAGTTGTTTTGGCGCTGACAGTGATCTTAGACGGAAAAGACACGAATGGACTCAGAAAGACCTGCCGAATTGAATCATGTGCAACTTGACCTAATCATGAGGTCATGACCTGACCTGACCTTGAAACATCCTTAATTGATCTCACCCATACAAAAAGCATATCATTCGACGTGGCTGAGCATGACGAACACGATGGTGTCAAAATTGCAGCTCTGATACTATGCTGGACGACCACCGACCAATCCATCTACTGGTATGCTAATGCTTTTATTATCTATCGACGATGAACACTGAACATTCTCATATATGTAAACATCCCACTTTGGGTTACAGAGTAAGTGGTTCCCAATCGTGCAAATTACTTGTTCCACACATCACATTACCGCTCGTTCCAATGCAAATTAACTTTGGCTCTTTACAAATAAACTTTGGCATTGAAAGATGTCACTGTGTTACACTAAAGTTAAACATTGATCACAAGATACAGCTCATCCTCAACACATAAGACGGAGAACACTATGGTAACCCTCTCAAAAAAGTTTCGGCCATGGTAGGCAATGAGGCATAGCTGCGAGCACGATATTCCATCTGGGAACACATCAAGATGAAATTACATGAATCACACTTGCAATAAAAACAAATTCAGGTGGTACTTATGCTTCAAAAATCAGGATGAAAGAACGTGTACCTATCTGAAAACATGGCAAGCATTATCAGAGGAGTAATGCATGGTTATTTAAGTGACCTGTTAATCTTGGGTAGTTGAATGTTAAGGGGATCTTAGAATCTATAAGGTCGAGAGATGTTGTCTTCATAAGGGTTTCCATTTGTGGTCACACATTTTTGATGTTTACGGAAATGAACACTGGGTGGGCGGTGCACACCCTGAAAGCCACAAGTTCACACAAGCTGGTACCTATGTTGAAAGCTCAGCTTCCATCCTGTTCTGATTTATACAGCCGATCCGATGGCGCCCTTGGTTAGCTTTGTTTGAGGAAGCATTTACTCGAGGTTCGAGGTGCAGGTCTTATCCTGAAAAAGGATCAGAGGTATTTAGCTAGGGAAGTAATGAATGAAATTGATTCAGGCTGCTCTGAGGATGATTGACCACAAAGACATGGCTATTGTGAAAGCCCTGAAATAACTTTTAAACTGGTATGTGAGTTAAGTTGAATATCAAGAACGGCAAGAGAACTAAAAATTGACCTAAAAATTATCTTCCATGTTTAGCTTCAATCAACTAAATTTTACATTATTTCACTTAATTTAAAATTACAAGATATTGCATGATTATCACTAACAAGTGGCAACAAATGCTACTTTTTACATACTATCCACTTTCACCCGGATATAGAATGCATGTGTTTTGATTTCATTATCGCACCAACACAGTTGTACGAGATACTTACACAAAGTATGATGTAACACGTTGATGGTATTCATCTGGGACAGTTATTGTTGACAGATATTATTAAGTTTGTTCAAAAGACCAGCTTTATTTCTTAGTAATGATAGCTTTTGGAAGACTTCAGTCTTCCTTCGTCAGCTTGTCAGAGCTCTAAAAATGCATACAAACGACCAAAATAGAAAAGAAAATACACAAATATTGTTCGTAAGCTACCATTGCAAGTAGAGCAAGATAAAGCTGGCGTAAACAATCCTTGCAATACAATTATACTAACCGTGCTCAAGTTAAATCGAAAGATGTCTTCAGGTGTCCTTTGATAAAATTCACTGAACCTTTTTTATAAGCACATTGCTAAGTAACAGTGAGAGAATGAGAAAGCATGAGGCTGGCCCATCACCCAAATCAAAATTCAAGCTCAGCAGTTTGCAGATTTGCACACAACTGCCCGGAAAGCCCTTTCAGACTTTTCCATGCACGATGAAGAGCGGATTTTTATGCATACGATAGTTATTGATACTTAGTCAGCACAATTCTTAGGCCTTTAAATAAAGAGAGAACACCAATGAACACCCCGCGCGAAACCACAGGCCGCATTGTGTATAAATATTAGGCGCAATGTATCGAAACGCGAGCGCCAGCTGCGCCGCGCTAGAGCGCAGCCATATCCTGGGATTATTTTCGGTAGATAATTGTAAACTCTCAGTTCTAGTTGTTTTCTAGATGATATAGTAGGATTCTAGTATATACTAGGAACAACTTTGGAGTACCCGACTCTTTAGTGCCCTGGGCTATATAAGCCAGTTAGAGTTTTCCGGTTAAAAAATAGGCGATTCTAATGTCGCTTTTGGAGATCACTCGCGAGTACTCGCATGGACCAGATTTGTGTTGAATGCTACATAAATGCAATGAACGCCTACACTGGTTTCATATCTGTTTTTGCTAAGTCCGCTGCTTTTCTCCACTGTTACCCTTGCTGGACACATATGACGCCGTATTACAACTCTTCCCTGTACAGAGGAAAATGCGACAAGCGGAAAGAAGTGGCAATAAAGCGCATCCATTACCGCACCGAAGAGGAGCGACTGCTGATAGAAAATGAAGTCGACAACCTGTTGAAAGTCGAGGACTATGATGTGAAGGTCATCAGGTAAATCTGCTGTAGCAAATACAATAAACTCAATTGACCTGCATCTGAAGGTTTGCATATTTATGCATGTACGTAAGCACATATCTGTGCACATATCTGCAATAAGTAAGTCTGTGCACACAAGCACATATCTGCAAAAAAAAAAATTGTAGAAGGTCAAATAAAATGTCAACGCAATGAGGGAGCCTGCTTGTATACTTATCTCTTGTACTCGAGCTACTGACGACTTCTTTTGATTTGGATATCATGCGCATGTCCTCAACTTGCGAACAAAACACGAGATTGTGATTAACGATCATTGTTAGGGAAGATACATCCTGAATTGGAGTGTCTTAGATTGATGATTGTTTATCCCAATGGGGAAAAATGAACCAATTAAAAAACACTCCAATTTAGAATGTATGTTCCCTGATAATGACACCTGACCACAGTCTTGTTGATGTCGCAAGTTGAGACCATGCGTATTATATCCATTATCCATCTCAAAAGAAGTAGCCAGTACCACCCGTACAAGAGATACATATAACAGCGGCTCGCTCACTGCGTTTGCATTTATTTGACTTTTGTAATAAAAAAATCGGGCACTGTAGGTATTGGCGGAAACCCACAAGGTGGTGTTTAAACACCCCGCCAACAGGACGAAGTTAAAGGGACATGTTCATGTCTAACATGGGAAATGAAGTTCAGATAGCAGTTTTGTTCGTTACTATGCTAAAACCACGTAATCCGGAGCCATTCGTCTCAAAAATATAATTTGACAACACTAGAGAGCAAATTCGATGGTTTTTACCAGATCGCCAAGGTCTTTACCAGATTCGACCAAATGTGTATGACGTTGCCACGAAAGGACTAGATTTCAAGTTAAGGTGAGCCGTTCCGCCTAATAAATTCGCCACATGCTATTCAATTGTAAAGTCACTTTATCTTGTATCTTAAGAGCTATTTAATATACAAAACTGTCAATTTACAGGGTAGGTAGATAACGAAACGAAATACACCTTCAAAACGCATGCGCAATTATCGAAACTCACGCGCCATAACTCTGTAGCCAGGGCTGTCTCATCCCTATCTCCGTAACGTGTCGTGTGCGACCAATGACGTCACGGCATTGCGGCGTTCTGATTGGGCGACAGCTCTGAATCGCCCGACTGGTGGTCCCCGCTCGACAAGCGCACGTGCGCCGACTAGACATTTGTAGTGGCATTGACGGCAGAAAAAGTGAGGTAATGCAGAGCTCTGAATATACTTGAATAGAGTCTAAGCCGTTAGTAATACGTAAAAACGTCAGATAGGTTTCTTGTTCGTCTTGATTTGAGCTTTTATGTGATATAATTTTTACCTTAGTGTCGAGGTTGGCAGCTATGTGGGAGAGCCCTAAAGTTGGGTCATTTTCCATAGGATTGCATTACAGCCGTCCGACCCTTCGTACCAGTGACGTCACGGAAATCGCTGCTTCGGCCTAATGAGCATACCTTCTATATAGGGCCTTGCTCTGTAGCATTCGGCGACTAGGCTCCGACGGGTGCGGACGTGTTCTGCCACGGTCCGCATTAGTTAGGTTGCTCCGATCCGAATTGTGCGCTGGTTGGTTTGTTTCAGACAACAGACCGGTGCATTTCCCTCCCTTCTCCGTCATCTTGTTTTATTCAAGTCTATATTTCACTTTGTCTTCTAAATTATAACATTAATATTCACATTCTCGTTCTCCCTCCATCGGTTTCCGGCTCCACTCCATTCCTCGTCGGTTGCGGCCGGCCGCGGTGATTGGCCGACGCCGGTCACGTGATCGTGACGTCAGCCCGCCGGCTAGCGGCGTTCGCGCGGTTTCTTGGCGCGGTTTGTTGGCGCGCTTTTTTTCTAACCGCAGGCGCGCCTGGGCACATCGTCGCGGGTAATTCCAGTCCTGTTTTGGCCGTAATAATTTGTCAAGCCCTCTATTTTTGCCACTGAATTTGATCATTCTAATTTCTATTTCTAAGAAAACAAGGATGGCGCCCACGCTGTCTCGCCCCCGCCCACCTCTTGTCCTCCCTCTCATGGGCCCCTATCCATCTGAGCCTACCCCCGAACCCTTCCCTGACCCGATGATGGACCAAGTTCCAGAGGGCCAGTCCTTCATCCATTTGACTCCGGATGGCTCGTTCCGCCGCCTCTCCCCATTTAAATTGCAGAGGGAGATGGACCTACTAATCGGCCCGTGCGTAAACGCAAAAGTGATCCGGTCAGGCAACATATTGATCCGGGTTTTTAACAAGGACCAGGCTCGACTCGCCCTGAGCATCACCACCTTCTGTGGCACGGCCGTTACGGCCGCCCCGGCTACCCGCCTAAACACCGTGGCGGGCACTTGCTACTCCCCAGCACTCCAGTACATCGAGGAGGCCGAGATTCAGGCGGAGCTCCGCTCACAAGGAGTAGTAGAGGTGACGCGCCTCCGATCTAAGGGGCCTAACCCAAACCCGCTGCTTAAGCTGAGGTTCCTTGGCCTCGAGTGTCCCCCTGCCGTGTACGCCGGCTACGAGGTCCTGACTGTGAGCCCGTGGGAGGTGAACCCGCGACTCTGCCGGCGCTGCGGACGTTACGGGCACCTCCAATCGACCTGCCGTTCCAAAAAGGCAAACTGTCTCCGCTGTGCCACACTGGGACACAGTTCGGATGAGTGCCAGAGTGAGGAGGTCCAGTGCGCCCACTGTGGCGGCCCTCATCCCGCCTGGGATAAGAATTGCCCGGCGTGGCACTTCCACAAGGAGAAACTGAACCGGAAGTCGCCCTCCGCCCCTCCACCCCGCCCGGCCGGGCACTCTATCCCGAGCGAGCGTCGATACGCCGACGCCGTCCGGGGGACTAACCCCCGCTGCTCGGGACCTCAGGCTGGACCAGGGCAGCGCTCCGACCCGAATCTGACCCCGCCGCTCAGTACGGCAGTGGAGCTCCCTCGTCCGTCGCACACAGAGTCGACGGAAACTGTCACGGCACCAGTCCCCCAGACTGTCCCCACCCTCGACGAGACGGACACGGTCACAGAGACTCCGAAGGGAGCAGCTCAGCCTCTGGCCGAGGTGCCAACTGAGACCCAGCCAGACCACGTCCACATGACCCCTGCAGCAGAACAAACTGACGCGGTCGCTGTAGCCAAGGCATCTCTCGACGACTCAGAGTCGGTGACCCCTGTCAAGGAGATGCCCATTGAAACCCCTCAGACTCCGCTTCCCGCAGGCTCCGCGGTCCCAGAGACCCCAGACGTTGCCAGCACGTCTGTTGACTCCGCAGAATCTCTAGATTCTCTTGACTCGCCCAACGATACTGTCGTTGAGGCACAGTTCACACAGGAACTTTTCGAAACCCTCGTCTCCGCCGACCACCCAAAACCCAGGCCCATGTCTTCTCGAGCACCCTCTCCCGCTCGTATTCGAGAAAGGTCTTCATCTCGCTCCAGCTCTCGCTCCCTTTCGACGGGAAGACGACTTACTCGTTCGCACGCTTATACCCAAGAACACCAGTAAACAAACACACACACGGTAAATGACTCAATTTTCTGAATTCTTTCTCCAATGGAATACGAACTCGTTGGTATCCCATTGGGGGGAATTCAAGAACTATATGTTAAATAAAAAACCGTTACTAGCCGCCATCCAAGAGACCCATTTTAAAGATTCAGATACATATAATTACAATTTCAACATTCGTGATTTCTCTTTATATACAAATAACGTAAATGAAACCCACCGCCGGGGCGGCTCGGCTCTTTACGTTTCAAATAAACTTTTGCATCATGAAATTTTCCTCCGAACTACGCTTAACGCAGTCGGAGTAAAAGTTAAAATTGCACAACTAGACCTCACTGTCCTTTCGATCTACCTTTCACCTAGCCTCCCACTTTCCTGTCCTCTACTCCTAGACCTTTTCTCCCAACTTTCTCCGCCTTTTATAATCATGGGGGACTTCAATGCACACCACCGCACATGGGGGTGCACAGAAACAAACTCGCGCGGAACACAACTTCTTAACGTAATTAACTCACTCGATTTAATACTCATTAACAATCTCACGCCCACATTCACACGCACACGCAATGGAGAGGTCGTACACTCCGTCCTAGATCTCGCCATTACAGACACAAACACCGCGACACTTTTTACACAACACGTTGAAGATGACTCTCTTTTCAGTGACCACTACCCCATACATTATTTACTCAACGTCCCTTCAGGACAGACAAACTTTAATTTTTTGCCAAGGTGGAACTTTAAGAAGGCCGACTGGGTGTCTTTCCAAAAGTATATTGACGAATCATTGTCTACACCTCCACCAGATATAAACACATTTCTTAACGTCATTCTTGCCGCTGCGCATCAAAACATCCCCCATACTGGCCCCCCAAAAGAACATAGAAGAGCTCCCTGGTGGAATGCAGACTGCCAACGCGCCGTAGCCCTTCGGAAACGCGCACTCCGCCAGTTCCACCGCCGCGTGTGCGAAGCAAATGCGGAAGCCTATCGCAAAGCAAAACATGAAGCCTCTTTGATAATTAACCATGCTAAAACCACCGGCTGGCAAAACTTTTCAAATAACTTTAATCGTTTTACTCCTTTGTCCAAAATTTGGTCACTAATAAAATGTTTCTCGGCAAGACGCAGCAACCCTTACAAAATCCCTCATCTTCACATTAACAACACCCACTACACTATCCCTTCAGACGTTGCAACACTCTTCGCACAGCATTACGCGAACATCTCCTCAGCACAACAATACACACCGCAGCTCACCGAAACACTCGCACACGAACTGTCTACACTGAACTTTCACTCAAGCAACCGTGAACTGTACAACACACCATTTACGAACCACGAACTTACACATGCCATCTCGCGGTGTGGCAACACATCAGTAGGACCGGATCAGATTTCTTACTCCTTTTTCAAAAATCTGACTGAATCCGGTCTCAATACCTTTTTGTCTTGCCTAAACTCTCTATGGGAGAACAACAGCTACCCAGAACCCTGGCGCACCAGCACCCTTATACCTATCCTAAAGCCTAGGAAACCACCTTCTAACCCATCTAGCTATCGTCCTATCTCTCTAATTAGTTGTGCCTCTAAAATAATGGAACGTATGGTCAATTGGCGAATTAGGGCTTACCTAGAAACGAACTCCCTTCTCTCTCCGTTTCAAAATGGCTTTCGTCACGGCCGATCAACTGCAGACAATATAACATACATTGTAGATGATATCCAACGTGGTTTTCAAACAAGAAAATATACCTTTGCTGTCTTTATTGATCTCCAAAACGCATTCGATAAAGTAAATAAAATTGCCCTCCAAATAAAACTTCATAAAAAAGGATTGCGGGGCAGAATGGCCTCATACATTACGAACTTTCTGAGCAACCGAACTTTTAACGTAAGATGCGGCAACACATATTCACCTCCTTTCCGACAGGAGCACGGGCTACCACAAGGCAGTGTGTTGTCCCCGACCCTTTTCCTTGTAATGATTGATGACATAATAGAAACACATAATGCTAAACTTAAATTTTCAGTATATGCCGATGACATAGCCGTCTGGGTTACTGATTCATCTGTACAAACGGCGTATGCTTACATGAACACAGCACTTGATGATATTAGAAAGTGGTGCGACAAATGGGGACTTACCGTGTCCCCAATTAAAACAGTGGCAATGATATTCGCTCCCCCTAGAAGCCGTTTTACTAACCCCCCTAGACTACAGATAAACAACATACCTATTGAATATGTAAACCAATTTAAATATTTGGGAGTCACCCTAGACAATAAACTCACATTCAATAAACACTTCGAAGATATAGCCCAACGCTGCGAAAGACGTATAAACATACTTAAATGTATAGCTGGTAAGAAGTGGGGCGCAGATAGAAGCACACTTCTCAGACTATACATTTCCCTAATTCGCCCTATCTTGGACTATAATGCTTTTCTATTTGATGATATAGCTTCTAAGAAAATTGAGTCATTGCAAATAATCCAGAACAAAGCACTCCGCATAGTTGCGGGCGCGATGTCCACGACAAACATAATATGTCTCCATATTGAACTAAATCTGCCTCTACTTGTACAGCGTCGGAAATACCAGCTCCTTCGGTTCTTCGCTCGGTCGTGTTCCTTCCCCTCTCACCACACATATAAAATACTAAATAACCGTTACACTGAAGATCTGCAGCCGACTGCTCCTCAAAGACGCTTCCTGGTTATCGCCTCTCGAATTCAAATGGTACTCAACGTCTTTCGAATATCCCATCCGAACATCATGCCCTCACCTTCACTTTCCTCTTTCTTCTTACAACAAATCAAGCATATCGATTTCCTATTTACCGATAAAAAGACAAAAATTACAAAAGAGGAAGCACAACAGCTGTTCTTTGAATACAAAGAAGAACATCAGGCAGACGCATATATTTATACCGATGGTTCACGGAAAGACGGACACTCTGCCGCAGCTATAACTTCGCAAAATTATGAAAAAACAAACAGACTTCACGACAGCCACAGCATATTCAGCGCTGAATTGATAGCGATTAGTTCAGCTCTTAAATATATTGCAAGCAAACATTTTCAGAAAGCAGTGATATGCACAGACTCGGCTTCCTCTGTTAGGACTTTGACGACAAGAAAAACGGAAACACATCCTTTGGTATACAAAATAAAAAAGCAGCTGATTGCTCTACAGAAAGAACATAAAGAAGTAAGAATCCTCTGGATCCCCGCACATATGGGGATCCAAGGTAACGTACGGGCAGATAACCTTGCCAAAACTGGACTCCTCTTCTCGTCTCGAAATCATCTTCCTCTTCCAGTTATAGATTTCATCAACCATATTTACGTCTCCTTTATGCAACTTCGACAAAGAGACTGGGACACAATCAAACATCCACATCTCTATCCGATTAAACCATCAATTTCTCATTTCTCTTCTTCAAATCAACCTACAAGACAAAAAGAAACCGTGCTGGCCAGACTGAGGCTAGGACACACGTATCTTACACACTCGCATATATACGACCGTGTACCACCTCCAATATGTCACTATTGCCCCACACATCCAAGATACACAATACAGCACTTCATACTCCACTGCCCACGCCTACAGCACCACAGAAGACACATTATAAGACACATTACCACACATGGCCTCAGTCTGGATTTGCCAACTATCCTTGGCGACCATCATCCAGAGCTTCATGATTTGCTTTTTATCTTTCTCCAGGAGGCACGTCTTACTAACAGCATATAGAAACCACCTCACTGAGACAAAAGGAACCCCGAGCACGGGCATGAGTGGGCGCCGTGGGGACGATAGTAACGCGGCGCCCAGTTCCTTACTCGTACAACCTAAATCCCGGTCGTTTATTTACATTCTCCTTTTGATTGCATCGTGTGCTCGCGCTCTAGCCATTGATGTTTCTTGCACTGTGTAACTGGCATGTGTAACTGGCGGCCCCCTATTGCGCTCTCCGACCCGCTAAGGCGGAGTCGTTGAGAGCCAACGCCGACTGGCAGCCAAGGTGTTTACGCCTGTGGTCGCCGGGCGCCCCTCCCCAGCACGGGGCCGTCATTATCCCTTCCCTTTTACCTCCTACACATGAGATTAAACAACTGTAGGGGTTTTTCCCCCGCGCTCTTTGGCTTCAGCGCGGGGTTTTCCCCTTTGCAATAGGCGTCAGGTTTTTTGTTATTTAGGACTTTTTCCCTGACCAATACACCCCACACCAGTACACTGACACCTTACACAAGTGTATGAATATGTGATGTAAATAAATGTTACCGTTTCTTCATCTGTGTTTTGTTCCGGCTTTTTCGGCACTTCGGCAAAAGTAAGTTCCCCCATTAGATTTGCTCACACACACTAAGGATAGGCTCCCACGTTGCTATTGCTTCCGGGTTCACATAAACCGGCTTAACGTAAAACTTTGTTCCTGGCCAAAATTGCCAGATGTAATGACCCCCGGCTCCAGACTGGCTTTTGGCTGGCGGGGCAAAAAAAAAAAATAAAAAAAAATAACTCTGTAGCACATGGTTCATCATAACTTGTAGCGACTTGTAGTTCGCTATATTCACACCAGGTGGCTTTGTGTTGTTTATGACGTCTTTGCGATAACATACGTCATCATTTTGATTGTAGTTATTCGTTGTTTTCATCAAAATTCGGCTAATCAATGGCATGCAACCACCTATTTAGGTATTATTATCCATTTTCAAGTGTTCTGGAATCATCCACTTTATTTTTTCAAGGTGAACATATCCCTTTAATCTGAAAGACCTTTTCTACTCATTCTTTAGATACTTTACAACGCAAAGGACTGCCAACTTCTACTATATTGCGATGGAGTTGGCACTGGGTACAGTGGAAGACTACGTGGCGAGGAAACAGGACGTGGCCAAATCTGGTATGGACGAGCTTGATAATCTCGATGCGATCAGCATTCTCCGAGATTCATCCAATGCACTTGAATGGCTGCACGAGAAAAGTATCGGTGAGTTTTTAATCACTACTTTGCAATTCAACTCCAGCCTTCGTAAAAATTACAATAATGCATGACATGGTGGCTGCCCGACGCCCGTTGCAAGCGACGGAGGACGGTCAAATCTGAAAAAAAATCAGGATCGTCTGACCATTGTTACTTACTATTTGTAAAAATGCCATATGTAGTCAGGCTTGAGAGGTAATGATAATTTTACCTATGTTCTAAAGCAGACAGTTTTAGCGAGCTTTTGAGCTCTTGTTGCACATCCACTTAACCCGCGAGTTGCTGGGGGGGGGGCGTTAAACGCCCCCACTTTTTTCGCCGGGCCATAGCATAAAAACGGCGCGCCGCAGGCGCGCCAAATTTTAGGTACCTGTAGGGAATTGATTGAAGTTTATTGTGACAAAGTTTCAAAAAAATCGGTCGGAAAATTTTTGAGATATCGAGGTTTTAGTGACGTCATGATTTCTGAGTTTTCGACCAAAAACGGCATATGTTCAAAAAATCATATAAAATCACAGAATAGACATACAGACATGCCGTAAACGCCATTAGACTGCCAATACCATGATCAATCAAATGGCTATCTTCGATTATTGATTACCGTTCCGCATTTTCCATAATCTTGAACTGAATCTTGGCAATTTTTCGTGACTACTTTACGACCATGATACATACATGAATTTCTTAAATTGAACTTTTTTAGCCAAACACGTACACATATGATAAAATGAACGTCATCATCGTGTTCTACGCCCCAAATTACCTATTAAACATGTGTCACAGGCTGCGAATATCAGTTTTGATTTTCGGGGATATGTGCCTACCCGGTTGACCTGACCTTGACCCTGACCTATGCTTGACTGACCCCTACATGGAGCTGACACTCTTGTAGGCCTTATAAGATGGATTGTGCACCGTTTTGACAGAGTTTATGGCGAGAGGCGCCCATTGCGAAGTCCTGAAATCCATGCTACTGAAAGCCCGATTTCAGGTGTTTGACCTGACCTTGACCCGACCTGTGACCTCAGAATTCAACTTTAAAGTACTCATCTGAAGCGTCTCGTCGCGCTCTTTCGTTTGCCGCCTCGTGCGTTTCGCTGCGCCTATTGGTTCTCGAGTTATCGGCTGGGGGCGTTTAACGCCCCCCCCCCCAGCAAACGGTGGGTGGCGAAATACCCCAGCAACTGCCGGGTTAACCCGCTCCGTGCTGGTGGTCTGAAGTCCACTTCCCATGTCGTGCTGGGGGAGGGGGGGGCTCTAAAATTCCGTGAAACTCGGCTTCTTGGACACGCGGTAAGCGGCATGCGAAAGAGCTAAAAACACTGACGGAAATACTTGGGTCATTTCTTAGGTCAGGTCACAAGAGGTGATCAAAGGTCAAATTTGGTCTATTTCAACAGTTTTCGAAACACCCGACGAATAAGTCGGAAGCCAATAGTGTTACAGCGCCAAGGAAAACGCACTTCGATAGCTCTTTCACGGGCCTTTCTGATTATTGCCATCATATTTCACTTCCGGTCAACGGTTTAGCCTTCCGAGGGCAAAAACTAAAAAATAGTCGTCGAAAAAGTTTGTTCGGTAATAACTATTGACAAAAAAACGACATTTATTTTGCCAGCATCGTGTTCGTCTTGTCGGTTCAGAAGGTTGGCTGTCCAGCAGTTGGCCCCTTAATGCTGAAGACTGGTGAAATGAGCGACGATGCCCAAACCATGTCTGAAATGTTCGCATGATCGTTTGTTTATGTTTACTCTCCTAACAGCCCAAGGAACCCTGCTCCCCATCAAATGTTCAATGGAACGCTTAACAGTGTTGATTTCTCAACGGACGATGTCCTATCGGCACTGATGATGCTTGACCCCCATTCTGCCATGGGGCCCGACAGATTGCATCCACTGGTGCTGAAGTCTTGTGCTGCTGAGGTGGCATATCCCTTGCACTTGATCTTTCAGAAATCCCTGCAGGAAGGGAAGCTGCCAGCTCTCTGGAAAATGTCTATTGTAAAACCTATCTTTAAAAAGGGCCACAGATATGACCCCCTGAACTATCGGCCTATCAGCCTGACCTCGGTTGTCTGTAAGACTATGGAACGCTTGATATGTACTAAACTTAGAAACTACCTTGAAACTAACTTCCTACTAACTAGCCAAGGCCATCTATAGAAGGTACAGTCACTCCCCCGCCGACCAATCAGAGACAGATCCTGAGTGACGTCACCCCTGATGCTCGCAAGGGGTACTCCATTCCCTTACAACGTAAAAATGACTAACTTCATTTGAAGATTGTTGGCGACACTCTACACATATCGCTCAGCCGTTGATGTCATTGGAAAGTCCAGCTAATTTTCTAGCGATAAAAAAGAGCAACAATAACAAGCAACAATGCTAAGAAATGGCCAGTTTTGAAGATATAGAGGATTTAAAAATCCTCTGCAGTTGCAGGAAAGCAACGTAAAAACGCATCGAGCTTATATTTTTACTATGAATAAGTCATTTTCAGCAAGTTTCTAGATATGGTATCGATTTATTACAATATTTTTATTGCCTGGAACTTTATTTCAAAATAATATTTTCAAAAATGGCAACTGTTGGCAAGTAGCTTTGAAGCGATTATGGCGCATTATTGTCCTCAGGCCCCCTTATAATGTCATCAAAAGTGGAGTGACATGGGTGTGAACGTTTATGTTCGACCCGTGAGTGCGAGCTGGGTACGCCTCTGCCATCGGAGCGGCGCGGGGCGCGGTCGTGGCCGGAGTCAGCTGTTACAAGGGGTGTGGGTCACGGGCCAAGACCAAATACACAGATGGGTATCGACTCTCGGTGTGTGTGGACCGCGGTCGTACGTGCGGCGTTCAAGGAAGTTTCACATGGTGGCAGCGTGGTTGTGAACCCGGCATGGCTGGTGGTAGTGACCAGGACTCGGACAAGTCGGGCGACGTGAAGCACGGTGCGACTCCACCCTCGGTATCGCGCGCGGCGGCGGCTTTGAGCGTCAGCATCGCGGATTTTCCGAGCTATGATGGCTCTGTGTCGCCGGAGGACTTTTTGGCCCAGTGCCGTCGTTTGGCTGGGCTCGGTGACATCTCTCGTGACTCGCTGGCGTCCATCGTTGCTGCGCGATGCACGGGACGCGCCCTCTCCGTCGTCAACGAGTTGGAGCAGCGCCTCGGGCGACTCTCGATGGACCAGCTGGAGGCGTTACTAACGTCACATTTCTCGGCGTTACCGACTGCTGCACAAGCGGCGATGCAGCTATCCCGTCTGGTGAAGGGTGATCTGAAGGCTCGGGACTACGCCCAGCAGGTACGGCTCTTGGTGCGAGGAGCGTGCCCCGAGTTTTTCACGAAGGACGGAACAGTGAAGAACATCTGTACTCCGGCCTACAATGCGGCGCTGTTCAGACATTTTCTGGTTGGTCTGAGCGCCGAAGAGGCCTCTCTGATCTCCCGTCTCAAGGTTACGACGTTCGAGGCGGGGATAGACGAGCTGGTTCGGGAGGAGTCTCTGCCAAAACCTACAGTGGCAGCACCGGAGCCCTTATGGACACCTACACGCGCAGCGGATCGTGTGCACTGGGCGTCACCCATACGGCGCGCATCTCGGGACCAACCTGACTTCGACGACAGGGATGAAGGAACCGCCCCAGGGATCTACAACGATCGTCAGGGTTCTCCGCGGCCCAGCCGACGGTTCTCGGAGCAACATCGAAGCAGCGGCACCATCCGGAGCCGGGGGAGCATCTCATGTTCTCCGCGGCGCTCTGCCTCCCCCTCTGCGCGGTGGCGGCGCGCGCGCTCTCCCGGGCGGCCGGGGCCGCGCGCTGGCGCGGCAGCTGGCGGCGGGCGGCCGCCGCCTGCTGACCCGCGCGGGGCCGGGGCAGCGGCGGCGCCAGGGACGGCCGAGGAGGAGGATCACGACAGACGACCCGTCTGCTGGTCGTGCGGTGGAAGAGGGCATCTCAAGCGGCACTGCCCAAACGGGTGGCTGGCGGACGGGCGATAAAGTCACTCCCAATCGTGTCATGTACACTGAACGGCTTCCAGGTGAGCGATTGTTTAGTTGATTCAGGCAGTCAGCTTACTTTGATTGATTCCAAAGTGCGTGGCACCATTGCACCAAATGGGGAGTTGGAAGAGCCTGTCCGCCTCATGTCAGCGTCAAGGCACAATTTAAATGTGATTGGTACATGTCGTTTGTTTGTTGAAGTCCAAGGATTCCCACCGTGCGAATGGAAATGTTGCGTCGTTGAAAATCTCACTCATGATTTCATTGTGGGTTTTGATTTTTTGCAGGCCAATAACGCAGTCATTGATTTTTCACCCCAGCAGCAGGGGCCTAAAGTAAAGTTAAGGATATGCAAGGCTGTATCAGTTCCAGCACGCACTGCTATGTGTATTACTGCCAAAATCGATCAAAACTTATCTACTGATCATGCGTATTTATTAATGGGACAGTGCTCAGACCATGTTGAAATCCAAGATGCAATTTTTCAACCCTTTTCAGAGAAAGAAATCCCTGTTTACATTCGTAACAGGACCGATCAACTTGTTACCTTTCATAGACGTAGTGTGATTGGATTTATTGAAAAGCTCGAGGGTGATGTGAACTGTTTTTCGGTCGATGCTTCCGGCGCTGACTCGTCCGCTCCGTGTGAACCAGTGTCTGTGAATGTTGTGTCTGCGGCGGATGAAACGGTACCTGGTGCGCCGGCTACGCAGGGAGACAGTCGGCACTCGGTGTGCGCAGATGACAGTCGCTTTTTGGGGGCTAATACTGACGAGGTGTTAGCAGAGTTCAGCGTAGGAGATCAGATAGGCGCGTCACATCGGGACAAATTGGCTTCCTTGCTGAGATCTCACTCTGAAGTTTTCTCGCGGGGCTACGCCGACATCGGCTCTTACAAGGGAGAGAAAGTGGATCTGGAGCTGGAGCCTGGGACTCGTCCCCAATTTTCCCGACCATACCCGGTTCCGTGGGCGCGGGAATCTCAGTTGAAAGAACAGTTAG